CTGCCATGAGTTTGAGGCCAACCTGGGCTCCATAGTGAGTTCAAGGCCAGCCTGAACTACACAGCGAGACCCTGTCTTTAAAAAAAAAAAAAAAAAGATGTTTATGGCATGTTAATTATATCTCTCTTTTTTTTTAAAATCAAAGTCTGGAATGATAGCTTAGTGAAAAAGTACTTGCCTAGCATAAGCTTGCATGAGGCCCTGGGTTCAATCCTTAGTACCACAAAAAAAGCATTTGACAAGCCAGATATAGTGGCACATGGCTGTAATCCCAGCACTCTGGAAGGCTGAGGTGGAGAATTACAAGTTCAAGCCCTGGGCAATTTAGGGACTTAGCAAGATCCTATGTCGAGCTTCGGATTTAGCTCAGTGGCACCACCCCTGCCTCGAAAGTACAAGGTCCTGAGTTTGAAAAACAAACAACAACAACAACAAAAAATATATACATGAAGGATTCTATCCCTTACTCTTTGCTCTTTTAATCCTTCTCTATGCAAAATCTTTGGCTAAGAAGCCATATATTTTACATTTGTTCAGAATAGGACTGGAACTCTAAAAACACCCTAACCACCAAACAAAAGGAGCTGCTTATTTTGATAATATTTTTTGTAACAGACCTTCTTTAAATGCAAGTTGACAGAAGACTTATGCTATAAACCCAACCATGCACAATCAACTAGAATTAGCTGTTGTAACTGGCACTGGCACAAAACACATTCCAGCTGACAAAAGAGAACTATATTATTAGTCTAGTCAGAAAGCAAGGTCATCAGAAAACTGTGATAGATTTTCTTTTAGTGTTCTGTCTCAAGCCTGAGACAACGTCCTTTAAAACAAAAAAAAAACGAAACTAAAAATACACACTAAACTATACTAAATTACAGGAAAATATGTCCTATATTTAAATTATTGGATATAAAATTTAAAAGAACGTAGGTTTCAAAGTTGAGAACTAAACTATGTAGGATGGGAATCATACTTACTTTTTTTATGCATCCACTATCACATAAGAGATTTGTTAAGTACCACTCCCATGTGCTAACCTCATTCCTTAGTGTCAACTCTACTGCTACTTAATTACTAATATTATTAAACAATAGTCATCCTCATGTATAAGATATTTTAACTGGTTAAGACATAGTCATGTATTAAGAGATGTTATAATATCTTTTCAAACAATTTCAGCAAGACAGTGGGACACACCTGTAATTCTAGCACTTGAGAGGCTGAGGCAAGAGGATAGCCACAAGGTCAAGGTCAGCCTGGGCTCCATAGTGAGTTCAAGTCTAGCCTGATCTGGGTACCACGACCCTGTCTAAAAAAAAGCAAAAAAATACAGAACCTTTATTTTTTTTATTTTTTTGGTACCAGGGATCAAACTCGGGACCTTGCACTTGTGACGCAGGCTCTGTAGAACCTTCATTTTAAAATAGAAGTATGCTGCCCACAGTGGTGCATGCCTATAATCCCAGCACTTGGTAAGCTGAGGCAGGAGAATCACCGTGAGTTCCAGGCCAGCCCGGACCACCTGACAAGACCCTGTCTCAAATTAAAATAAAATAAGAGGGATATCCCAGATGTTTTCAAAGGGAAATCCAGATGAGTGCACTGGAAGGCCCTGAAGAGTACCAAATCAGGCTAATAATATCTAGAGTCTTCTCCCAGTTGAGTTTGGGAGGGGAGCTTTTGGTGGCTTATGTTTTATTTATGTATTGGCTTTTTTATTTTATTTTATTTTTTTGGACCAGGGATGGAACTCGGGTTCTTGCACTTTTGAGGCAGGCGGTGGAACCACTGAGTTAAATCCCCAGCTCTGTATTGGCTTTTTGAGACAGGACCTCCCTAGATAGTTCAGGCTGTCCTCGACTCAGATCCTTCCAAGTGCTGGGATTACAGCCATGCACTCCCAGCGACAAGCTGCTAGCAGTTTTGATACTAAAATGCGAAAGATGGCTGGCCTATACAGTACCAGCTCTACAAGGGTTTTTAAAATACATAAAACCCAAAGCATGTTGAGTATTCTTAGTGATGACAATATTCAAACACAGTTATCACAGCTACTCTACCATTTTCAGATTCTATGACGCACAGGACTTATGAGCATGACAATATATATTAATATCACACATGACTAGAGAAATTCAGATGGAATCCCAATCACTTAAAAAACATTTATTAAGCACTTTTGTGAATAGTGGCTTAAGGATTATCCAATAAGGATATCCATTAGCAGTGGGTTATCTCTTGTTCTAAATATGCTTGTGGGTGCAGAGAAACTATATAGCTTTCCTATATCTTTGATAACTCTTTCCTCATGGAACAGATAACTGCACCACTTGAAAGGATATTTAGCTTCTCCTTTCAGCACACCTCTCTTTAAATCTGTTTTTCCATTAACCTTCACATTTGTATACCTTCCCTCAAGCGACTCATTTTCCTTCTTCTGGCCCTTCAACAACTTTCACCATAAATCCTAAACCATCTAGAGTGAGATTTCTCTAAACGATTTCTTTCAAAAATCCATTCTGGATCACACATTAACCCCATTCATTTAGCACGATCGCTATTTCTCAACCCTCGCCTTCCCCTTCTGTCCTTAGTCCTTCCCTTCCAACGCCCATTCTCTCTCCACTTTTAGCTCTCTTCAGATCACTGTCCCATATTTCCTTCGTGTTGTCTAATGTCAATTTCTACCTACCTCGGGTTTTCCCAAATAACCCTCACTTTCCTGACTTTGCGGCCACCATGACCTTCTGGGATCCCTCGGATTATGCTGCGGTCCTTCACTCTGCCTAACCACACTAACGCCACCCACACTGCGCTCCTCCCACTCTCCCGCAATCCCCTAAACTTGTCTTCCCATGAAGACCCCGAGCGTTCCCCTCCTCATTCCCAGACCCTCCCAGGTCTCCGGGAGCCTTCAAAGCCTCTCCTTCCCGGCCCAAGTTTTCGGGCACTGTCACCGCCAGAACGAGCCCTCGGCGCCCTCAGCGTCCCCGCCCGCGCCCTCCCTCGGCCCGGCTCTCCGACCTGCCTCTGCGCCTCCTGCAGTCGCTGGCCCAGCTCCCGCCGGTAGCTCTGCGCCGCCTCCACGTTCTCGCGGGCCTTCTGCAGCAGCAGCTCCATCTCCAGTTCCATGGCCCTCCTCGGCTGGCCGCGCGAGCGGCAGCTGAGGGCGCGGCTTGCCGACTGACCCGTGCCAGGCGCCGGCGAGCGGCCTGGCGCTGCCTCCCGCAGGCGGAAACGCTGCCTCGCCACGCCCTGTCCCGCCACGCCCGCGGCTAGGTGACTGACCACCGCGCGGCACCGCCTCCGGCGTGAGGCATCCGGGCCCCAGCGCCCCTTCGCTCCCAGGCTTAACTCGGCCCTTGGTCCCTGCGGCGCGGCGGTGCCAGCTCTGGCGCTTGCTCAGGAAACGCGTGGAGACAGACAAGATGACTACGAGCGCGTGGCTGAGTGCTTTTCCACGTCTTACCTCTTGCTTGTCTCGGTTACAGCCCAGCTTTTTTATCTTCACTGCACAGCGGAGGAAAGTGAGGGACAGAGTGGGGACAAGCAACTTTCCCAAGTCAGCGTTGGAACCCAGATCTTAACGTTCTTGGCCGCTACCCAGAGGCTCAGTGTAAGGAGGGAGCCCAGGGAAGCCAGAGTAAAGGCCAGCAGTACAGCAAATCCTGGCACAAGGCCAAGACGGGCGTTGGCAATTTTTTTTTCCTGTCAGGGTCATGTAGTATTTTGGGCTTGGTGGCCATAAATTCTCTGTTGCAATGTATCAAGTGGGTGTGACAAAGTCTTGCGATTCTGGCTCTGAGCCTGTATTCCCAGCTACTCAGGAGGCTGAGTCAGGAATATTTGAGCCCAGGACCTTGACACCAGCCTCGGCAACACCAATAAGACTCAATCTATAAAAAGAAACAAAAATCTAGTGGACACTGAAATTTGAATAAAATTTAATTTTCACATATCACAAAATAGTCTTTGCATTTTTCACCAGCTTTTTTTTTTTTTTTGAGACAGGGTCTTGCCATGTAGTTCACAGTGATCCCCCTGCCTCAGCCTCCTGAGTGCTGGGAGTATAGGTTTCAGCTCCTATGCCCGGCTTATTTTTTCTTTTTCTTGGCTTGTTTTGTTTGTTGTGAGACAGGGTCTCACTATGCAGTTCAAGCAGGCCTTGAACTCACTATGTAGTTCACTAGCTTCAAACTCAGGGCAATTCCCCAGCCTCGGCCTCCAGAGTGCTGGGATTACAGGCATGCGCCACCACACTCGGTTTCTCCAGATATTTAAAAAGTAAAAATGATTTGTTGAAAGCCGTATAAAAACAGGCTATAGGTTGGATTTGGCCCCTAGGCCATGTCTTGGTAACCCCTAGTCCAGGATGTCAGCTGAAAGATGCCTCAGCCAACACCAGATGAAGAAGGTGATTTGTTGGGCCGGGGATTTAGCTCAGTGGTTTCACCGCCTGCTGCGAAAGTGAAAGGACCTGAGTTCGATCCCCAGCAACAAAAAAAACAAACAAAAAAACAAAAGAAAGTGATTTGCTCAGAGTTACACCATGAATCCCTACTAGAGGCTAGATTCCCCCTATTCTGGGCCAGAACAAGGCTTTTACTGCCATGTTGTTTCCTGCTAAGAAAGTGACACTTGGAGTTAGAGAAAATTAGGAAAGGATGGATTTCTGGAAAAAATTGGAAGTTAGTTTTATTCTGAAGATAAGGTAGCCTGGCCCTTAGTAGGTACTCAACATCTGTTGAGTGAAGATATTATTATTAACTAACTAGAAAAGAATAGGAAAAAGAGCTAGGCATGGTAATGCATGCTTTATAATAGCAGCACATAGGAAGCTGAAGCAGAAGGATCATGAGTTTGAGGGTAATCTGGACTATCTAGTAAAACTCTGGAGTGGGGGTGGGGGAAGGCCAGGCATAGTGGTACACACCTGTAATCCCAGCACTCTGGGAGGCTGAGGCAGGAAGACTGCAAGTTTGACCCCAGCCTGGGCAATTTAGTGAGATCCTGTTTTAAAATAAAAAATAAGGGTTGGATGTAGCTTAGTGCAAAGGCATAGAGCTCAGTCCCCAGAACTGCAAAATATATACATACAGACAGACAGACAGACAGACACCTCAGGGAGAACAAACTAGGTAGGAAAGAATATTCAAACTTAGAGATAGGAATACAAGTGGTACATTAGTCAGCTTTTCATTACTAGGACATAATACCCAAGAAAGTTAAAGGAGGAAAGATCTATTTTGGCTCATAGTTTCAGAGATTTCAGTCCATAGACAGCTGGTTCCATTGTTGTAGGCCTGAAGAAAGACAGAACATTGTGGTGGAAGGCCATGGTAGAATAGAGCTCCTTACCTCATGTCAACTGGTAAGCAGAGAGGGAACAAGACAGATAGGAAGGGACTGGGATCAGATATACAGTGGAACCTTGACTTATGAACTCAATTCATTTCCAGGGGCTGGTCGTAAGTCAAGTTGATCAGTTGACTTCAAAGTCTCTCTCCTGTATAATTTTAGGCCACATTTTCTTCCAGGAAGATGTCAGTGTCCTTAGAGAGACATTGGCATTGGCCCAGAATTTCTCAATTAACACCACACAGGAAAGGATGTTGTAATGTTCCTTCCAGAACTCTTTAAGGGTTAAATCTATATCTGAGACTATCTGGAAGCACAAGCAGCTGGCATTCAGGTTATAACTCAAGACTTTGTTCATAAGTTAAAACTAAAATTCCATCCATAACCCAACTTGTTTGTATGTCAGGTTGGTCATAACTTGAGAGTCTACTGTAGTACCCAAGGTGTCACCAGTGAGATCTATAGCCACATGTAAGATGGAAATTCAAAATGGGCTAGTTCTTCATCCACTTCTCTTTTGCTGATGACCAGTCAGGCATGGTGGCACACACCTGTAATCCCAGCACTTGGGAGGCTGAGGTAGGAGGATTGCCAAGTTCAAGGCCAGCCTGGACTGTGTAGCAAGACCCTGTCTCATAAATAAATAATAAATAA